ATCAAGCAAGCAAGCAAGCAAATACATATGAGCCCAGTTTGCTTTGAGCATCCGGAACATCTTCAACCCGATACAGGCTGAAACTTGACCAATGAAATCCTTCGTAACGAAACAAATAAACAGTCCGCGCAAATGAAAAATTATCGCATACAAATAAGAAATTTTACAATACAAATAAGAAATTATACAATGCAAATGGAAAATTATACAATACAAATAAAAATTATACAATACAAATGAAAAATTATACAATCCAAATGGAAAATTATACAATACAAATAACAATTATACAATGCAAATGGAAAATTATACAATGCAAATGCAAAAGATCGAATATTGCAACGTTTGACATGCCATAACCACTGCATTCATTTTTGTCGCTAGTTAAATCCCACACAGCAAGATATAAACAAGTCACTGATCGCAATGTACTTGTCGTCATGACGTCATCATGGTAAAGTTTGACGCATTTTATGTGCAGTGAGAGGCGGATCAAGTAATTTTTTCACAGTGAAAAATGCATTTTATTATTAAACAGAATATTATTTGAAAATCTTAGGTAGACCATTAATACAAATCTGAAACGTTTGTTTAGTGCCATTATTTAAAAAATATCGAGAGAATGTATTGAATTAATTCTACCGTGTTTTTGTCTACAGGGTGTGCATGTTTCACGCCGAGGTGCCTCATTAAATCGCCTTTTCGCAAGGGCATACACTTAATAGATCGGGATCATTTTTTGAAAACACATAATGGACATATTCCTTAACTTGAAAAGTGCTGCTGCTTTCCTGAAATCTATAGCATAACTTTATAAATACATAAAATACTTGGTAAAGGTCACACATATTTCGACATTAGCAAGATAACTTGAAATTTTAACTTATAAAATGCGAATTCTATTAAAAGCAGCAGCACTTTCCATAAACTACAAGTTATGCAGAAACAATCTATTACTTTGATTTTTAATTTTAACTAGGGTATGCCCTTGCGATATTGAAATTTGTTTGTTACCTACATACAGTACACATTTCATGCATTTATCATGTGACTATCAAATAACGTGACCAAACCAAATTCAGTACAGAGCGGGGTATACAATGTTATTTCAAAGAATGTTAAAGTCATAAGATAATATAGTACCTTTACAAAAATAAAATTCATTTTAAATAGGTATGTATTTATGCACGTTTATATTCTGTTGATTTCTTCAAAGTACACCTTAACAGTGCTGCGTAGCTCAGATACGCCATATATAGCTTTAAATTGCATCGTTCATATGATTTTTTGTTGTTGTTGTTGTTGAATGTTTGTCATAGAAGATTTATTATTTATTCATACATTTTAATAACAAGTTTATGCAATATAAGTGACTTCATCAAAAGAAAAAAAAAGAAGCACAGCTGCGCGAAGTTATTACTAGTATTAGTTGACCAGAGGAACTTGTGCAATGGTAGAGTGTCCATCTGTCTGTCTGTAAACAATTTTTCGAGACTACTCCTCCTACAATTTTGGTCCAAGTTAATAAAATTTGGTACGCACGTAGATACACAATTCTATGTGTCGGTTTTTGATTTCGAAGAACGGTGTTGCAAAGTAGTTTCTGTAAAGTAGACTTCAACAAGATACATATTACTACCGGTATACAAATTTTCATTTATTTCGATGTTGTTCCCTTGGTTATTAATAGAAATATCTGTGAAATTCTCAAAACGCTAATTATTCAGTTTTAGTTCGATTTCAATAAATCACACACATAGACCATAAATTGGGGATCATGATTTTATTTACTGTCGCTGCCATATAAACATGTGTAGTTCAAGTGGTACTTTCCTCTTCCTTCAAGTACAAACCAGATGAGCTATAGTCTCATCAACGAGTTTTGGTTGCGTTCTTATATTTGTATATTATCCAAACTTTTGTTGTTCCAAACCTTTTACCTCCGACAACAAAGTGAAAAGAAGATCCGTGTTTTTTTTATTGTCTCTATACAGAATTAAGCTGTCAAAAACTGTAACAAATTCCTATAGGATTTATACGAGTATATCTTTGGGCAAGGCAGAATCTACAGTTGGATGCAGTAAACAATGTTTATCAATCTCATAATCTAATGAGTTAAGTAAACAAACGATCGTTACTTTTTTTCATTTCTTGATCGTGGAATGCAATAAATGTGATAAAATTATAGTTTATCTCTACAAATAAATGCCTTTTTCTACTCTATCCAGAGCCATCATTTTCACAATTTTGGAAGACAACTCTTCTTTATTATACCCATGCACTAACTTTGTCTGCTCAATAGCCAGGAGCATAGAGAAAGAAATTCAAAGAATTAATGGCATTTTCACTACATAGTGTAATCAATAACGCCCCCCTTCTTTTCATCAACACAGAACTTTTGACCCTGTGGCCACGAATTTCATAATTTTGGAAGAAGCACTCTTGCTCATCATAACCATGCACTTATTTGTTTGCTTAATGTCTAGGCGCAGAAAAGATTTTTCAATTTAAAAAAAATATGCTTTAACATATGATTAATGAATTTCATAAATCTGGAAGCAGCACTAGCTCTTGCTCATTTTAATTATGCACTTAGTTTGTCTATAAATACCAAGACGTTACGCACGGTGTTGGTACACATTGACGTTACGTCAAAATAATATGATTAAAGTCATAACGTTGTTACAACGTTTTAAACGTTATAATTGCATATTTTAGCTTGTTTAATATGAATTTTATTTATTTTTATTTTTTTTATCTAAATAAAATAACAGGGCACAGACTTTTCAATTTTTGAATCCTTGTTGAAAATTTTAAGATGTACACTAAAAAAATCTTAAAAATAAATTACAAGATTTATAATATGAAATTGCCACAGGCATATCCTTGATTCCTCTTTCTATTTCATTTTCTCATTTTGTACTCTCTGTCTTGCAAAGAGAAAACACATCAAGTAGCTTTCTATTTCAACCGTTTCTCCTTCATTATTTTTCCATTAGGTCATTTTAAGTTTTCTATTTCTATCAAGTCCCGCATGCGCCTTTGTTTTTGACACCCAAGATCAGAGAAAAGCACAGAAAATCGGTAGTCCTTTTAAGAGCGGTTCCAGGAAATTTTCCCAAGGGGGGGGGAGGGGCACACCAATTCAAAAAAAATATGACTCTGAAAGTTTTTGACAAGCAAAAAAAAATTATAACTGAAAATCGCAGGGGGGGGGGGGGGAGGGGGTCCGGACCTCACTTCCCGACCTCCCCCTCCTGCCTTTTTTATTGAAAGCTTTTGAATTCTGTCATTTTCTTTCTATATTTTTCTAAAATATGTTAAATTAGGTAATGTACTTAGCATTTACAACCTTGATTTTGCAAAGGAATATATTTTTCTACGATAGAGAAAATGTGTCTTTCTACGAGAAAAATGGAATTATGAAATCAAAACACTTGAATGATGTAACTTTTATGACAACCGGTGTTCAAAGTAGGATTTCCCCCATAACCAGTCCCCCCTCCCCCCAAAATCTATACTCAGGAGTGGGACTTCCCCCGAGGGGAAATCTTACACTAGAACCTCTTTTCCCCTCTTTCTTTCTTAAAGTAGGTTTCCCCCTGTTTTATCAATGCTTAAATCATATCGACATTATTAAAGTTTATATGAAAGTCAACTGACTTTTTAATGGAAATATAAGTGTTTTCGCTCAAGAATTGTTCAAATTTATTATGAAACCTTATTAGTTAAAAGAAAATACAAAACAAGCACCGCTCTTGCAAGCCGTAGGATAGGTATCACCCCTCGACCACATAGGTGTAATACTGGACAGCTAATTTAAACCCCAGAAACTTGGCGAGACACTTAATCAAATTTAAATGAATATAAATTTCAGAACTACCTACAATTACTATTGAAGAAATCTGAAAGAACAATCCTAACAAAACTCAGTGCTCATACACTATATATTGAAATGGGGAGATACTCAAGGCCACCTATTCCTAGAGAAAAACATGTATGTCATTCTTGTAAACTTTTTATTGAAAATGAAAAACATTTTGTACTTTGATGTCCTAGTTATGATCAGTGTAGATTACAATATTGTGATAGATTTAATGCTCAATGTTGCATGAAGGAAAACCCTATTATTGACATTATCAACTCTCCAAGTATTAAAATTGCTTGAAGAGTATGTAATTTTCTGAAAAAGTGATTTGATATTAGAAAAGAAAAACTTCTAAATAACTGATTTGCTCAATGGGATTTTTATGTATGTTAATTGTTTGTTGTATTCATGACTATATGCCAATGTATGACGTTGTTGTCAATAATATAATTGAATTGAATGCAATTTTCAATGTATGATCAATAGAGCATTTTCATCAATAGAGCTCCACCCTAACTCAAGAAACCCTGACCCATGAATTTCAGAAATTTTGAAGAAGCACTCTTGCTTATCATAACCATGCAGTTAGTTTGTCAACTAAATACAAAGGATAGGGGAGAAGACTTGATGTATTTTCACTATAAAATCAAAAGAGCCCTCTCCTAATTCCAAAACCCCTGATCCAGGGGCCATGAGATTCACGATTTAGTTACAAGCACATTTCTCACCATAACCATGCACTTTGTCTGCTAAATACTCAGGAGCAGAGAAGATTTTCAAAGAATTAATGCATTTTCACTATATGATGAATAAAGCACCACCCTAACACCTGCACCCCTGACCCTGGGGGAAATCAATGTCACAATTTCGGTAGAGGGTTTAATGATTATCATAATAATGCTAACAGTTTAACTGCATGATATCCAGAAGTAAAGAAGATTTCTAAAGAATGATTTTAATGGTTTTGGTTCCACCCCTCAGACCCAGGGGGAGGGAGGAGAGGGGTGCAGAAACCATGAAAATCACAACTTTTGTTCCCCTTTGCCCTTAGATCTACAGTATATATACCAAAATTGGTTGGAACTGATGCAGTGGTCAGCTCAGTGAACTGAAAATGCTTCTGTTGTAACAATGAATCTTTGCAATTGTTTTATTTCACATTTTGTTGCAGAAACTTGCAGAAATATACATTAGACAAAGGAGACAAATCAAACATGTCCAATTATTTAAAACAATGTATTGCACAATGTTTTCATGACAACTCACAATATCATAATTTATTATCAGTCAGTGTTCACACAGACACACACTGCACGCCCCATATGGGTTGTCACATATTCCCAACAGTCACCAACTCAAACATATGTATGTCAATCATAATTACTCCAACATTTCCATTATGCACCGATATGAAGCCCAACACTATATTATAAATCATTTATCCTGATCTACATACATGTACATATAAATTAGCTTGCAACATTCCCCCTTCCCCCACCTTTATATTTCATTATTGATGTAAAGTTTGGAAATTCTCTGTGTATGTGTTTAGCATATTAAGCATATTTGGCACAAAATACAACTACCATCTCACGGTCATTAAAGAGACAAATGTTACAATTAATGAAGCATGTCCCTAAACTTAAATACATAAACTTCAGAACACAAACAACCTACATGTACAAACTGGTGATGGATATTATGCTTTTCTGATTTTCAAACATAAAATTTTACAACTTTTTTTTTAATACTGGGCCTTGCCTTCAACTGCTAGACAGGAAAAGGATATTTTGTATTCTGTACAAAATCTTCATGAAAAAAAAAATGAAATGTGCAAAAAAGAAAGCATATGCATGTATTAATACAATTTCAATGTACAGCTGTAATAAAAAGAGCTTTCCTTTTTCTACAAAATTGTAAATAAATAACATGGATGAAAGTAAATTTTATTTCACAACTTTATAATTACAAATAGTAATGAAAAAGTCAAGCACTATTGCAAATCATTTTGACAAACAAAAGACTCAAATCTCAAAATTCATCATAGAACACAATAAATAAATTTTTAAAAATGCATGAACAATTCTAAATTTTTAAACATTTTATATATAATCTTGATGATTCACAACTCTTTCAATATAATTTTGAATGAACATAATCTGATATCAGACTTACTTGATATAAATATTCTATAAAAACACAATATCTCAGTAAAATGAATGGCGTCTCACAAAGATTCCATGATTATCATAAATCTAGACCCCAAATGTTTTGGTTCTCCTTTACAAAACTGTATAAAAGCAAGCACTGTTTATAAGAAATATTGGTCCTCATACAACCTTATTTCCAACATAATGTATACAATCCTTTTCCTTAATTAAATAGGATATCCTCTAAAGCTTGTGTCAAACTTCTTACAAAATCTGACACAAGCTCAAACTCACGGTCATGTGTTTATCTATTTTAAATCAGACAAAGAACACTATTTTCAAGTAGAATTAAGCACATTTCCATTTCACATCTTATTATAGTATATGTTATTTTCTACTTTGATACATATTTATCACAAAGAGCTGCTGTTCCTATTTTCTTTCTCTCCTGATAAGTTAAGTGGGTGCTTCTTCCCATATTAGGTTGTTGTTTTTAAAGACTTTTTTGATTGTAGACTGTAGTTTTCTTCTGGCTTTCTGCTCTTCTTCTAAATCCCTCTTCATCTTTTTATGTTCCTGTAACATGTAACAAAATAAACACAGTAGAAATACTGACACACAAAAAACCCATTCAATGAAAGCAGGCAGAACCAAACAGATGTCAAAGAGACACATCAGCCATGCCGTACTGAATTAATCAACATAATATATATATGTACTGAAAATTTTGACCAACGGTCTAACAATTTTTTTTCCTTCGCTACTCAGTTTCATGATAAACATAAAGATTACAAAGTCACCTTGACAAATTTTATCTGTAAGTGAAAACAAAGTCTAACATCAAATGAATATTCTGGTAGTGTGCATATCTAGATGCAACATCTATTAAAATTTAGTCTGTGAAGGATTTATAATTCTTGTGACTGGACCTGCTCCAGACTCTGTCAAACACTTTAACTATTTCTAACACCTGGAAATGTAGGTCAAATCATCCCAGTAGGTCAGATGCTGGCCTTATTCATGGTGGGGCATAACACACAAATAAAAAATAAATACAACTAGAAAACTGACCAGTCAGCAAGGGCCCCGCCGAGGGGTAGAAATATAAGGGTGCAGCTTACAGAATGAGAATTTTGATTACAAAAATTAAAAACTATATGAAGAAGAATATGCAATAACAACTGTATTTATAAAATTTCAAGATAATTCCTAAATATCCAACAACCTGTAAAGAGTATCCCTGTATTTACATATTAAGGCAGTAAAAAACATCATATCTATAACTCAATTAAATGTACATTTAAACAAGAATAAAGCATGTGTTTTTTAAAATGCCAGCCTTCAGTGAATGCAAATATCACCCAGGCTTGACCTCAACTTCAAAACAAACATCAGACAAAGGTTAATTTATCTTAAAGTGACAAATAAAGATAAGCCTGGAAAATTTTCTGCCCCAGACAAGATAATTAATCCCATGGGATTAATTGGACTGCTCTCTCATCCTTTTCTTCCAAGTTTACAATAAGAACTTTTTCAGTAATGATAGAATGAGTTTATTATCAGACTAATAAAAAAAAACCATATCTTTATGTATATCTTGTTTTTAGAATTCAATAAAATCATAACTCATTGTGTATTTTACCAAAATAAAGTATGAATATTATTTAAATCCACATTTCAGAGAATGTAAACATCATTCAGAATTGACCTTAACTTCAAAACAAACTTCATTTGCAGACAGAGGTGTTAATTAATCTCAATTAGACAGAAACAGATAATGCTTTGGATTTTCTTCAAGAGGAAAGTTAATTAATCCCATGGGACTAGTTGCAGCTTTCATAGTTTACAATAGGAACATTCTCAGCAGTTATCTCTCTTTGCTCTGGCATTCATTCTAATGTAAAGTTAAGGAATCTACCCCACCACCCCAGCTCCAAACTGGATGACACAGAGAACCAAACTTAGCATCAAAATATGTCTTACTGCCTCTTCAACCAACATACCAAATTTGAACTTAATTGGTCAACTACAAAAAAAGTTATTAGAAAAAAACAGAAAATTTGTGGACGGAAGAATGACAGACGGACAGACAGACAGAGTGATTACTATAGGGCACCCGCAAATCCTTGCGGGGCCTTAAATATTTATCCAGGTCTTATTCTGGATTTTTCAATACAACTTAAAGTATCAATTTTTTATGTCAAATTTGGGGGCACTTCATACTTAATGTTCTCTATGTCATATCATTAGCTGACATATCATTGCCTGACATATCATTAGCTGACATATCATAAGCCGTCATTTCATTGGCTGACATATCATTAGCTGACATATTATTGGCTGACAAATCTTTGGCTGACATGTCATTGGCTGACATATCATTAGCTGACATTTCATTGGCTGACATATCATTAGCTGACATTTCATTGGCTGACATATCATTAGCTGACATTTTATTGGCTGACATATCATTAGCCAACATATCACTGGCTGACATATCATTAGCAGACATATCAATGGCCGACATTCATTGGCTGACATATTTGCTGACCTATCATTAGCCAACATTTCATTGGCCGACATATTATTGGCTTCGATATCATTGGCTGACATCTCACTGGCCAACATTCATTGACTGACATATCATAAGCCATCATTTCCTTGGCTTACATACCATTAGCTGACATATCATTGGCTGACATATCATTAGCCAACATTTCATTGGCTGACATATCATTAGCTGATATATCATTGGCTTACATACCATTAGCCAACATTTCATTGGCTGACATATTATTGGCTTCCATATCTCATTGGTTGACATATCACTGAAGAATCTCACCTGTTCTAGAGTTCTAACTTGGTCCTTTAAGGAATAAACTGTGTCCACCAATGTCCTAAACAGAAAATAATTCAACTTTAACTGCAGGTTATGATGAATCACAGATTCTTCTATCAAAAACTCAATTCAAGAAACATTGCACTTACAATAGTTTATTGATACATTTTTCTTTTTTCTTTCTTTTTTTGAAAGGGGGGGGGGGGGGGTAATTCCTTACACATCACACTAGGTACAAGTGAAGGTTTTTCATAACACCATACATATCTGACTTACTTATATCAGTAGGTTTGGGGAGCTGGGGGGTCTTAACACATTATTCTATTTATAAATTATAACCTATACTACAGTATACTCACTTTTCCTGTAGGTTACAGGGGTCGCCATCGTCTATAATTATCTTCTCCTCTTCTGGCATCAGGACATGGGGACAGGTCACGAAAGCTGTGTACAACATCAAAAAGTGGATATCACAAACAAATCACCACTCAAAGCAAGATCAACATGCTGAGAAATGATTACTAATCTAAGCACACAACAGTATTGTAATCTAATATCAACAACTTGATAAAAAAAAATTAGAGGACTTGTAACACTGTTTCCCAGGAATTGTCTAATGTACTTACTAAATTGTACAAAAAGTGATAATGAAGATTAAAATTTTTACTAAAAACCTTCAGAATGATCCCGTTCACAAAGGCAAAATGTAACAGTTAATGCGATTTTCTAATAAAAAAAGCAGTATCAAACATATATCTCACTTGGCTACCATACACCCACCACTTGAGTAAAATACACTGGCCAGCTTCACTTTCAAAGATGCAAATGTGATGATAGCAGGAAATATTTCACACTAGAAACTTAGAGACAACAAGCAGAATATTCTGCACCAAGACATAGTGAAACATACCAATGTTCTAATAAATTGGATCAAGCTTTTAGGAAACAAGGAAAATTCATTCTTGTATCTGATGGACAAAATCAAATTAAGAAGTAGAATACCATAGCTAAGAACATTCATAAATGCAAGATGAATTTAAACAAGGATTCTAAGAGTATTGCATTAGCAATACTAGTCCCCTACCGGCAAGTGTAATCTGGTTCCCATTAAATATTGAAAATGCCATAATTCCGTCAAAAATCAATGAAGCGGAATGAAATGCAAACTTGATCTATAACACATCAAGGTAAAGTCACATACCAAAAATCAGCTCAATATCTGCAAGCGTTTAGAAAAAAAGTGCGGAAAACCCCGAAAAATTGAGAAGGTCGTAATTCCATCAAAAATCATTGAAGCGGAACGAAATGCAAACTTGATCTGTAACTCATCAAGATACACTCATATACCAAAAATCAGCTCAATATCTGCAAGCGTTTAGAAGAAAAGTGCGGAAAACCAAGTGGGACAGACTGACAGACAGACAGAGGGACAGACAGACAGACAGACGGACAGACAGACAGACGGACGGACAGACTCAGAGGAAACCTATAGTCCCCTCCGGTTTCACCGGTAGGGGACTAAAAAAAGGTAAATTCATTGTTCACCTGTCAAACGTAATGTTTTTAAGAGTATTGCATTAGCAATACTAGTCCCCTACCGGCAAGTGTAATCTGGTTCCCGTTAAGAATTGAAAATGCCATAATTTCGTCAAAAATCAATGAAGCGGGACGAAATGCAAACTTGATCTATAACTAATCAAGGTAAAGCCACATACCAAAATTCAGCTCAATATCTACAAGCGTTTAGAAGAAAATTGCGGAAAACCCGTAAAAATTGAAAAGGCCTTAATTCCGTCAAAAATCAATGAAGCGGAACGAAATGCAAACTTGATCTGTAACTCATCAAGATACACTCACATACCAAAAATCAGCTCAATATCTGCAAGCGTTTAGGAAAAAAGTGCGGAAAACCAAGTGGGACAGACTGACAGACAGACAGAGGGACAGACAGACAGCTAGACAGACAGACAGACGGACAGACAGACAGACAGACAGACAGACAGACGGACAGACAGACGGACGGACCGACTCAGAGGAAACCTATAGTCCCCTCCGGTTTCACCGGTAGGGGACTAATAATAAATACTGGTAATAAAACAAGTTGGAAGATTAAGAGAACATTTTCCCCATTTCTAAAAATAAAACTTAATTGCATAATGGTATATTCATCGCAAACATATAATAAAAGCAAATAAAGCTAAACATAGCAGGGATGCAGTATACTGTAAACAGAGGAATTCTCGCCCCGTTTTCTCCTTTTGCATTCCTCTAATCTAAACAGATTTAATAGAAAAAGAGTTGTCTTTCTTTTGACACAACAAGGTCTGGGTGAATTTAAAATGAAGTAAAATGTAAAACAAATCATGAACAGGGTAAAAACATGGACCCCCTGCAAACACCAGAGGTGGGATCAGGTGCCTTGGAGAAGTAATTATCCTGTCACGCCCGCTGTGAGCCCTATGTATTGATCAGGTAGAAGTACCCCATATCAAATTTAGTATAAAAACAATGAGATAATAAATCATATGAAACATATGAAATATGTCAGCCAAAATAAGACCATCTGCAAGTATGAGGAGATAAAAATCCTGGATACAGTGTATCAGCTAAAAACAAACAAACAAACAAAACAAAACAAAAACACACACAGTTAACATAAAATAAAAGAAATAAATATGAATGTTCAAAATTACAAATAAAACAAAATTAATATCATGCAAGTAATGAAATACAACTATATCATAATTTTTTTTTTAAATTCTGTGCTTTTTATTAGATAAATTGAAAAACATTATAATTATTACCAACTGTACACTTGTATTTACCAAAAGTAAAATCATTTCACAAATTACATCAAAGATTTTTTTTTAAATTCATCCATTTAAAAAAATGCAGCTGATGGAGTTTTTTTTTTACTTCTTTTTACATAGAACAGTTATACTTAAATCATACTTAAATGATTGATGAAGTCATACTTAAATCACATGATTTCATGACATGTTAATAAAAAACTATCTAGAAGTTAGTTTTCAACAAGCTGTAACAAGTGATCTTATATTTAACATTAATGCAGTATAAAGTTACATCTCATTGAGTCAGTGCAAATGCAGTTACATCTCACTGAGTCAGTGGAGATGCAAAGTTGCATCTCACTGACTCAGTGAAAATATAAAGTTACAACTCATTGATTCAGTGAAAATATAAAGTTACAACTCATTGATTCAGTGAAAATATAAAGTTACAACTCACTGACTCTGTGGAAATAAAACTTATATCTCACTGACTCAGTGGGAATAATTATATCTCACTGAGTCAGCAGAATTACAAAATTACATCTCAATAAATGGAAATATAAAGTTGCATCTCATGCTGTATTTAACTCATTGTTTATTGTAGCATCACATCAAGTTTGTATCTGCAATCTGCATGCTGTTAATTAAACACAACCAAGTGATGGTCACCTTGATGACGTGGGGCTTTAAAAGATTGGGAGGGGAGGGGATTTATATTAAATTTTCATGCTGTTATTCATCATGAATAAATAAACATGTATGTAATGCTCTTGAAGGTGAATGTTGCAGACATCTACAGAATGATGTGCTGAGATATTCAAAAGTAAAGGTCATTCAAGGTCATAATTGATTGGCAGCTTTATATGACCAGCACAGTCGAATCCTCAGGCCTGAATCTTCAAGATTTATAAAGCGTAAACTGCCCCAACCCAGATCTGAATCCTGGACCCTAGCACCATACATTTCAAATTATTGATAGAGGTTTTAGTACTCATTCCAAGTCAGTAATTGTTTTGGTAAGTATGAATAAGTATAGAAAGAGTTTTGAAAACTACATTTTTATAGTTTATCCATAAGTCCTTATGGAAAGGGGGGGGGGGGGGGGGGGGGTGAAATTCACAGTTTTGTTCCTACATGGAATATACGAACTTTGGATGAAACTGCTTCAGTCAATTTAGAGAAAAGGGCAGAAATATGTTTAGATTTTTTAAAAAAGCATGATGGGTAGGAACTTAAAACAATAGGTAACTAGATTCTGGTATCTTAATGAAGTGGAAAAGTAATATACAAGGTGACAATACAGGTGACATCACTTGGGGACAACACATGTCAGCATTCCCAGAATACCTTGGATGCCGACATCTCGTCGAATGACATTAGGTGTGCCTGTACTCTCTGACTGTAATGGTTTCACTATGTTTACGGATTCTTTAGGCAAGGCTGCTCTCCAAAGAAAAGAATTTTTTAGATGATTTAGGCTCACAAATCAATAAGTGTAGTGGCATATCCATTTCATTGTATTTCATGTACAAAAAACATTTTTTAGAACATACAACCATAACATCAAATTTATAGTCTTAATAAATTAACTGCTAAATAATCAAGAAATCAAACGAAAACTTCTTGAAGATACACAGAAAATGTAATGGTATACAAACAAATGAAATACTTAAAAATAATGTCAAATTTCACACAAACCATGCAGATTTTTAATCAGATAGTTCTATTGTTAAAAAATCATAGAACTGAGCCATAGCTATGTGAATACACTGAATATATTCAACAATTACATAAAGGGGTGTAAATGGACAAACATATATGGAAACAGAACACAGAAGGCTAGGTTGTCCCCCGAAACAGGGGGAATCACATCAGATATAGTGTTACCTTGGACAGCTACGTCCGCTTTCTTCACACTTTCATTAATGGTACCAAGATTAGGATTAGGAAGGGGTCTCACCAACGTAAATTTTTCCTTAGCAATAGCTACAACAGACAGACAGATGACTTCATTCATAAAGCCACTTCACTAAGCTTAAAGCTGGACAAATATACACAAATTTTATAACACAAAGGTTAATGTACACAGGGTCTGATGTATTTTTGTTCCATCCATTATGAATGCATAACTGTAGAAAAAAATCTTTCCTTCGTATCATATACAGGTATGTATCTCTTATATCAAAATACGTGGCAATTCTATATATGGCACAAATTTTATTTTCAACATAAGGGCTGTAACTCTGGTAGAAGTAAAATTTTGTATTACAACTTGTCTCCCCTGATGGCAGAGTTTGATATCTCTGTACATATTTTATCATTTTTATATGTCAGAACTGTATATTCACAAAATTAGAGTCGTTTAATTGTGCGAGCCAGTCCCTTTGCTATGGGAAATGAAGCACAACAGAACCCCCCGATCATGCCCTGGTGTCCATGCACAAAATGATACTCCTCCGATTCAGGGGAGATAATTGTATCACCATAACCTTCCACGGTTCCCTCCGCACTCAGACGAAGCTTCTTAAGGTCCACTATCAGAGCAGCATTGATAAAAATAAAAACTAAAATTACTACCTACAGTCAATTAATAAGTCATTAAAATGTTAATTTCTAATGGTACAACAATGGCAATTTTTATACAAATGTTTTTAATTACTAATGTAAGATATTACACCTGTCTACAACATTGAAAGCATATTTCATGAATTCTTATCTGATACAAAAAAAAAGAGTTACATATCATTTTCTTTCAATTTTACCAAAGCTTTATGTGAAACACAAAAGAAGTGTTGCTTGGAAGGTACACAACAAGTAAAATATCCTAAGTATAAATCATGCAAAAAATTTCAGGGAAAAATCTGTGCAACTTTATAAATTTTGTTAGTTTCCCATTCTGTGACAAACAGAAAAACCCCAATTAGTGCTAGCCCTTTTTTCATTATTGTTTTATTAAAAGCTCTTTCTTTTCAATTTTAATTTTCATTTGTTTAAAAATAATCTTCCAGACTAACCTACTTAGAGGTTGAACTAATGGATTACATTGTATATATATATGAGAAAAAAACAAATTGAAATTATCCTCTCAAGTTACCTCTGTACAGATTTATCTCTGAAAATTCATCAAATACTTTGTACTAGGCAATTTTTATAAATCTACTTATTAATCAGGCTTTAATAAGTGACACTAACACATGCATTTCATGTCAGTCAATCTGACTTATAGGCAAGCATATGTGTTTAACAACATATAGCACTTGCTTCACAAAATCATTTTATGATGCCATTTCTGAACCACACACGGTTCTTTGTTGGAACTCAATAGAATTAGTGCCTAAAATAATGTCATGGATGGACAAGGGAATTAACTTTTCCTGTTCTCTTTTACACAAGAGTTCTGATCAGGGAGGTAGTTCAAAAATGGCATATTACAATTCTTGGAAAAAATAAATATAACATGTAAATAGCAAATATTACAACTCTTTAAAAAAACATATTACAATAAAAATCATGCACCAACCAAAACTTTCTGCAATCCATATTTAAAAAGAGAATATGTGCTAAAAAATGTGAATTTCTACCAAAATTTCTTTGGATCTTCATGCTTTTTTATACTTGTGCACAAAGATAACTTGCCACATACTTTTAAGCAAATCAATTTACATAGGTAAGCATTTGGGTATCATTGTAAGTATAATTGAACAGGGCACAAAAGAATATTGGAATCTTTTCTTTTCATTCTCTTGCTTCACAGAATTGATTTCAATCCTACATAAACCCAAGAGGTCAGTATACCCTGCTTTAAATAACAAGATATAAACTAAGAGACTTTCAAAACCCATTCTGTAAACAAAAAATCCCAACCACATCAAACAACATGCAGAACTGATACATTTATTGTCCAATACACAGTGGTTTTGATACAACATCATTTTAAAAAAGCAGAGCCCACATACAAAACTGACCCACTGCTTACTTAGACAAAGATCACACATTCTGTCTTTACGCCATCTAGAATTCACAGGAGATAGACACACAAAAAACAAAGAAACACACACCTCCACTCTGTACATATATGATCCCTGTACTTACAAGAGTTAACGGTGTGTCTTGTTTTAGCACTAGTGCAGTACGCCTCGATCACTTTCAGAATCAATGCATCCTCTTCCATAGTTCTGGGATCATCTGTCACAAAGAAGAAAGGGAAGTGCATCTCTCTATTTTATACAAGCAAGTCTTATTGAATGTTTATAAAAATGCAATTTGAAAGTTTTTAGAATTTGCTGCAGATACATGTATCTATACTTCTTCCTCTTTTTAGAAAAAAAATTCCTCTGTAAAATATGATAAGACTGCTGTGGGAAGTTAAGGTTTGTAATTTTTGCATTAAATTAATGCTCACTTTATAAGAAAAAATGTGCATTGTTCATGCAAGGCAGCTAGACCAAAAAACAAAATAATAAATAAATAAAAATATAGCAATTGTAGGCAGATTAATTTTTTTTGTTTAAATCATGCAAAGTGTGTACATTTTTTTCATTCTTTTAATTTTTTTGACATGCAGTCAAATTATCAGGGAGATGTACGTTTATCTATATATTCAAACCAAATAAGAGGAAAAGCTACTGAATTAATCTGAGGAATACATTCGATACTTAAAATTGTTATTGGATGTCATAAACATGTATAAATATTTATTAGAATTGCATTCAATAAAAGTGGAAAGTAAAGAAATCTAAAAAAAAAAAATGTAAAATAAAAAATAGATAAGGAACTCAAAATTAAGCCATAACAGTAGGACAACATCAAGTCAGCAATACACAATGAAACTTTGATGTAATGTTTTTACACAATTAACTGAAAATTTATTTTATTTTAACCCAATGCAGCTCAAAAACAGCAATTTTCTAACTTGGCAGATAATGTCCATGTACATGTATTTTAAGGAATGAATTTAATAGCTACCCAAGTTATACTGTATAACCTGGGATGGGCAGTTTACACTTTACAAACTGCAAACTGTTCTAACCTAGTTTATACAAGTATAATTTGGATGGCTGTTAAGTTTACTCCTTATAATCTAGTTTTCTGTCACTGAATGTTAAAAAAGATATATTTTCACTACCCCTTCAAAAAACATTCAGACATACAACAAGAGGCCCATGGGCCACATCGCTCACCTGAATACACTGGCTAGGAAAAAGCACAAATCACTTCAGTATTGAAAAGTTTAAAGGGGGACCTGGATTTTGAACTACCTGAGGATGCTTCCATATCAATATAACAAATGGCTTTGCTGTTCTTGAGCAGAAGATTTTTAAAGATTTGATTCCTATATATTCCCTTGTTAAAAATTTGATCCCCCATGGTGGACCCTCCCTACCCCCCCCCCCCCCCCCCCCACCATCATTTAAACAAACTTGAATCTACAATACCTGAAGATGCTTCCATATCAATATGACTAAACATGGCTTTTCTGTTGTTGAAAAGATTTTTTCCTATATATTCCTATGTAAAAATTTGATCCCACATTGTGACCCCACCCTACCTCTGGGGGTTATGATTTGAACAAACTTGAATCTACACTACCTGAAGATGCCTCCATATCAATATGACAAATCATGGCTTTGCTGTTCCTGAGAAGAAGATTTTTCAAGTTTTTCCCCTATATATATTCCTATGTAAAACTATGATCCCCCATTGTGGCCCCACCCTACCCCTAGAGGTACCGTTATGATTTGAACAAACTTGAATCTACACTACCTGAAGATGCCTCCATATCAATATGACAAAACATGGCTTTGCTGTTCCTGAGAAGAAGATTTTTCAAGTTTTATTCCCTATATATTCCAATGTAAAACTATAATCCCCCATTGTGGCCCCATCCTACCCCCAGGGGTCATGATTTGAACAAACTTGAATCTACACTACCTGAGGATGATTCCATATCAATATGACTAATTGTGGTTTAGTTGTTCTTGAGGAGAAGATTTTTAAAGATTTATTCCTATATATTCCTATGTAAAACTTTGATCCCCCATTGTGGTCCCACCCTACCCTAGGGGGTCATGATTTGAACAAACTTGAATCTACACTATGTAATGAAGGTCTCACATAAGTTTCAACTTTTACAGCCCAGTGGTTCTTGAGAAGAAGATTTTTAAAAGATACCATCAAATTTTCACTAATTCTTTATTATCTCCCCTTGAAAGAGGGTGTGGCCCTTCATTTGAACAAACTTGAATCCCCTTTACCCAAGGATACTTTGTGGCAAGTTTGGTTAAAATTGGCCCAGTGGTTCTGGAGAAGAAGTCAAAAATGTGAAAAGTTTACAGACGGACGGACAGATGGACGGACAGACAGATGGACGGACGACGGACAAAATGTGATCAGAAAACCTCACTTGAGCCTTTGGTTCAGGTGAGCTAAAAATTTTAATGTAAAGAGGATTGATGTATTTTTTATGCAAGTCATATAGGCAACACAAGTTATATGATATAAACTTTTTTTTCTATCCAAATCAATGGCATGTTACAACAAAAATTAAATTATAAATAAATAACTTCAAAGTTTCATTGCTTTGCTATCAGGCAATCCTAACAGACATGTGACACTTTAATACTAACATTGTCGCCATTTGTATTTATAATCATACTCATCCTGAGAATGGGTCCGCACTAAGAAAATCAAAGTCTTGTTTAAAAGGCGTAACAGCATTATTAAATTGAAATAAGTAAATGAACTCGATTAATCACAAACTAAATATACTAAAGTAAACAAAGGATGCCAAGTTTTTACTTCTAGCTCCTAAACTCTAAAATTCATGAACAAATTAGTTTTTAATCTTGAAGCATCATTTTTTTCAAACGCATTTCAAACTGTAGTGACTAAAGGCACAAACTGCTTAGAATTTTTAATTGTGGTAATCAATGCTTAGCATCAAGCCTTCAGTTATTTGTGCTATTTGATTTTGTTGTACATAAAAACAATAGTTGACTTCTACTGAGAGCACCTTCAAAGGCCTATGTATATAGATTACAACATTCATATTATTTGCGCTGGTGCACACTTTTTTCCCCCCAAGTATTTTTTTCACCCAAAAATAGAAGGTGTGCATTATAGACTGTACACAGGGAAAAATGCCACCCTTTTGCTTCTGCTGAATTTGCTAAAGCTTTCAATTTTTATCATGACAAGGTAAAACCATAAATTACATCCTGTACTTCATTGATTCTTTAAACTGATATTTTCCGCTAATTAAGTATTACTTTAACCGTTACCTGGTTTCCGCCTGACAGGTTTCCTACCCATACGAGGACTTCTGACTAGATCCTCCTTACATGGGAGGTGCTGTCTGAGGGGTGGGGAGGGGCGGAGACAGGACATTGTCCAGGTGGAATGTGTCACCAGTGCGGTCTTAGCTGGAGTCAACAAACTTATACTAGGCTGGGAGGTCGAAATCTGTAAAAACAAGTGTCCCAATTTAAATCTGTAAAAACACATGTCCAGATTAAAGTCGGACAACTTTACACTTGTAAAACAAGTGTCCCAGTTAAAGTCGGAGACTGAAACAAACTTACACTTCTAAAACAAGTGTCCCGATTAAAGTCAGACAAACTTACACTGTAAAACAAGGGGCCCAGTTAGAAGCAAGACTAAAAGAAATGTGACAACTGCTTTCCTCGTAAAATGAAACATTATTATTTAGACTTCATGAAGCAAGTGATGATTAAATACCATAAAATTGCATTATGAGTGACTTATAATTCATACTGATTCAAGAATGCTGTAAATTTTAATTTGAATGTCATTTACGAGAAATACTGAGTTATACATGATAACTCTATTATACATGGTATTAAACTCTAGTGATTGTATTTACCTCTCCATAAGTGGTGATCTGTTTTGCCATATCTATGTCAGGTGTGTTGGAGTTAGGAAGTGAACGAGTCTCCTAAAACAGAAGTATTTATATACACCACAATATGTATTTAAATACTTATCTAAATTATGATATATCCTTAATATAATCAAAATTACCAGTGTAGTATTAACTTACTTCTTTGGATTATTTCAAGTAATTATTTACATGTTAAATGCTTTATTTACATCAAAAATAATAAATTTTATGCCACTGATTTACTAGAATAAATTACACAGTAAAAACTTCTGCACTCTAATGCCCTATTCACATGAATGCGCATTAAATATCTAATTCTCAATATATTGATTCAAAGTTAAATAATGCAAATGAAAATTATATGAATTAAATTGCATTCACATGACAGATAATTCAAAGTAAACTAATGCGCATTAAAATCTATTTCCAGAGTAAGGCTATTATGATGTCATTTGCAAATCACATCACCTTATGTAGAGCAGATAATACATTTGACATAATGACATAGTGTGTCTGAACACATTTTTAATGATAAACTTAATTTTTCTTTGTTTTTCACTCAAAAATAGCATAAGTACTTATATCTGACCACTGACATATGCCATGTGGCTTAATTGTGCTATGATGCATGCGTCACAATTAAATTTCAAATTAGCTTCGCTTAGTGTTTACACAGAGTTAATGTGAAGTAATTTGATGCGCAGTAAATGAATTTGAATTAAACTAATTTGCAGTAAGTTCTCTGTATGAACACTGTTCAAATATTATTTGCAGTAACTTCCATTTAACATCTATTATATAATCTACATGTTCATACCTGAAAACTTTTACTGCTGGGTCCATTCATCACTGTAACCTGAGCTTGGTCCTTCCCTAGGGCCTCGACCCAGCCCGCTGCATCCATGGGGCTCCCACAGGTCACAATTATCTTATCTATCATATTACCTAAACATAATTTTAAAACATTAAAATGATGATCTTACATGATACCACACCAACACTATAGTGAGTAATAAACATGTAAATATCAATGTTATCAGTAAAATTTAAAATGTTGATATTATTTCCTGTGGTTTATACCTGATATTTCTATTATCAGTATAAATTCCTTTGGTTTATACCTAATATTTTATTATCAGTGAAATTTCCTATGGTTTATACCTGATATTTCTATTATCAGTATCCCTTGGTTTATAACTGATATCTCTATTATCAGTATCCCATGGTTTATACCTGATATCTCTTTTATCAGTATCCCATGGTTTATAACTGATACCTCTATTATGAATATCCCATGGTTTATAACTGATATCTCTATTATCAGTATCCCATGGTTTATAACTGATATCTCTATTATCAGTATCCCATGGTTTATAACTGATATCTCTATTATCAATATCCCATGGTTTATAACTGATATCTCTATTATGAATATCCCATGGTTTATAACTGATATCTCTATTATCAATATCCCATGGTTTATAACTGATACCTCTATTATCAGTATCCCATGGTTTATAACTGATATCTCTATTATCAATATCCCATGGTTTATAACTGATATCTCTATTATCAGTATCCCAAGGTTTATAACTAATATCTCATTTATCAGTACAATTTCCTGTGGTTTATACCTGATATTTCAAAGCTACACTCCATATCCTCTTCCTCTATGATGCTTACAGTCATTCCACTGAGTGGTAATTTACCCTGAAAGTCAGCAGTACACAACTTGATAATGACAATTACTATAGCAGTATATTCTGGAACTTTATGTAAAATACTGACAGAAATATTTCTCAACTGTTTCCAATACAATCCTCTTGGCTTAATACAGGTAATGTTTGATATTCTTTACCTCATACTGGTACCCGCTGAGTCGGGGGCTCATTGACAACATAACAGGAAATGATTGATATTCTTTACCTCATACTGGTACCCACTGAGTCAGGGGCTCATTGACAACATAACAGGTAATGTTTGATATTCTTTACCTCATACTGGTACCCGCTGAGTCGGGGGCTCATTGACAACATAACAAGTAGACCAGGGAACAACACAAATATCCGGTCATTTTTGTCACCATTCAGGGAGGTCACCTGTACCTGGGACAACCTGACCACCTCCCCGAGCTTGGCTATATCCTGTAAAAAGTGAGAAATAATAACTAGAACTTATCACAAATCATACTTCTAGAGATCTGAACAAAACACTTTTATGTCAAGTGCTTTTATATACAGGTATATTTATTATACATCATACATGTATTTTAAATTCTGCTGTTTTGGTAAACTTTTCAAAATTCTGATCTTTAAATGTATTTAATATTACTTACAAAAATTATCACTCAAAGTAGCCCTGTGCTTAAAGACTACTTTGCTAATACATGTATATAATGCAAACTATATAAAAATGATTACCTCCCCTGCCCAGCCCTTTATAGAACTTGTTAATATCTCATACTCCATCTCTTTACACTTTCTAATTTCCATGCAAGCATTCTGTAAATAAACCAAAAATAAATCAGTAAATCTAAAAATAAGACAGCATCTACATGCAAGTCTTACATAAAATATCTTATTATGAGAAAACATTAAAATCACTATATAGGTATATCATACATGTACTACATACATAAAAGAAACATCCTACCTCAACAAAGTAAAAGTTACTGTATAAACACGGTATTTCTGTGGCTCAAAGTTTATGTGATCTAATCATTCAAAATTAGCATTCTAGTTTCTTATGACTCCATTTGAATAGGAATACAGTAAAACTTGGTTATAAGGGGAAGTGACTGGGACTTTGAATTTTACTTCCTTATATTTATCCCTATGAAGAAGAAAGTGAAAAGTCGCCTAAAGGATTAATAAAAAAAATTACTTATATCCAAGATTTCCTAATAACAGAGGACTTTATAACCAAGTTTTACTGTACTGAAATTTTAAACATATTATGATTATCTTTTTTAGTGAATTTGACAGAACAACCCCAGAAATCACTAAATACACTTTAGCTATTTAAATTATATATATTTCATATATATTTAAGTACCCATTTAACATATTTCACTGAGATGGTTTTCAGTATTCAGATGTATGTAAAGCTATTCCTCCTAGAAAAACATAGTATGAATAAACTTACATTGTAATGGCTATAATATTTCTCTTTAGTGTATACATACAGTACCATGATACCTCTGTTTTGTCAGCTTTTAAAAGCTATTTCTGTGTAGTGTATACTTACAGCAATATCTTTGCAGTATAAACTTAGGGTTATTACAATTTTAAAAAAGCTACACAAGGACTCCAGAATATATCACAGGTACCACCCATATTTTTTTCTTGAAAAAGAAAAATATTTTTTTTCTGGAAAAAGGAACCATGCAAAGATTTTTTTTTCATACTGGGGCCTGGGGTAAAAGCAATTAATTAAATGTACAAATCTTATAGCCGTTGTTCATTGATTATTCCCACTTGTTATATCAGTATCAAGGCGTCAATAATAACTATCTTTAAACATGAGCATAATGAGCAAAAGTAACTGTAAATCAGACTCAAGATTCCATGTTTTCTTTATTGTCAGATCAAATTTGCTTCGACTTATAGACTTCTTCGCTAACCAAGGGTTTCTGATCCGCTACTCTCCTCACAAACACTTAGCCTATGGTGCTGAAAAAAATCAGGATTTTTTTTCTCAAGTTGTGATTGGAGTTGATTGATATCGTTTGACCAATCAGCAATTGCTTTTTGTAAACGAAGATAACTGCGTTTGGGATATATCTTGACTCTTTAGTCTCGCGAATGAAAAACACAAGTAAACAATGATCCCTAAGATAACATGCCATTCTACAAATAGCTATGGTGTCATCCAGTCTTAAGTTAATGTGCATATACATGTAATTTGATCAGGATTCTATATAGCAGATGTAGTTTTCCATGCTAAATAAAATTAAACATCGCTTGATATCTCGTTAATTATTCTCGAAAACTTTTTTTAAATTTGCTCTTATTTCTGTCGATGACGCAATGTGTGCGTATGTGGTAAGATTCGAGATCACATGATGTAAACAAACCCGACTTTTAACAGCACCATAGGCCAAGGGTTTGTGAGAAGAGTAGCAGTTCAGAAACCATTGGCTAGCGAAGATGACTTGGAGAATGCTACCAATGTTTCCAATAAACTTGCCTATGTTATAAACAGGAAAAAAAATATAGCCATGTTTATTACCCAAGCAGGCAGGGTTAGAAGATATTTTTAAAAGTAATACCATGGATAGATTTTATAGAATTGATTTATTCATGAGTACCCCCACGGATAGAAGAGAGGGGTCAGGTAGAGTTTTTACTGGAAGAGCCCGTACCCTATTTTAGATATACATGTACTTACAGCTATTTCCCTGTATACAGATATGGCTCTTTGAGTATCCCCTCTGTCTATGTGACTCTCCTATAATAAAATTTTCTCAATTAACTGCCATATACACATACACATGTATTTTAATGAAAATATTATATAATTTTACATCCTGTTTGAAAATCTGATTTTAAAAACCAACAAAATTATGTCCAAAGAAGTCTGTATGTGAAATACATTTTGTATTATATTTGTGTGTGTGTGGTCAGAAAGCAATGCTTACCTCTATATGCCTTTCCAGCTCCTTTAGGAGACTGGGATACTTGTCTAACCGGGTAAATGGCTTGTACAGATTTGTAGTTAACATCATTGTTCCTTTAGTAGCACCAATTGATTCCATAAACTTATTCAGTTCATCTCTGAAAATGACACATATTCTTAGCTTCTTCATAACAGTTTTTTTAAAACTAAATATTTTATTATTTGATAAAAAATTTTAATGACTGCCCCATAAAAACAATGCTTCTTAGTTTGCCTCTTTACCTTTTGTTTTGTAGAATGGCTGCAGCTTGAGGATGATTAGCTGAGTACGCCATATAGAGCTCCTTCACACGAGGGGCATACTTAAGAAACACTCCTCCCACCCTTCTCTGGTGAGGTGGCTGTCTATAGATGGAAAAAATTATTAGTAAAGAATAAAATTTATTACATTTTCAACAGTGAAATACTGCAATTTATTTACTGAATAAAAGTGATATTCTGACACAGTGTGAAAGGATATCAAAATGGTATTCTCAAAGTGTGAGGATATCAGAAGTGCGGCAAAACTAACAAATTTCCTTCCCTTCACGCAGAGTGTTTTTTTTTTTTTTTAAATCCCTGGCCTGTTATAAGATAGAGTTAATAAACCATCCTGACAAAGACTAATAGTTATACTGCCAAAGTTTTTCCAAATAAGTCGTTAAAAATCCATGTTTACAACCTTTTTCAACATGCAATCACTTAGCTATGACATCTCAACCGCTCAACTATGACGTCACAGCCTATGACACTGTGTTACGAAAGATATAGGCAATGGGAAAATCTAAGAAAATGTAATGAACAGAAAATTCAATGTTTTGTAGATGAATATGGAATTTATTTCACTCCTGAGACTCGTGAAAATATAAAAAAAAAATTCTGTCCCACTCGTGAAATAAATTCCATATTCATCTACAAAACATTGAATATCCTCTATGTCTATCATGGCAAATATCCTGTACATTCTCCTTGTGTAACAGTCAACCAGCAACATATTGTAATAGATGATACATTTCTACCATAATGGAGCGTGGTGAACAAAATTTGCAAGTGTTCATATGTTTTGTTTTCTTTTGAATACTTATTCTTTATCTCACAATTATAATATTCTTGTACAGCATCGAAACCTATTTATTTTTTTTTTTTTAAAATTCAAACATAAAGAACTTGGATAGCTAACATTGGAAAATAAGTCATTGATAAATACCATTTCAAACATCTCAAATATCACTGTGCAGAGCATGCCAAATTTTTTAAAAATATTATTTTCATTCATTTATAAAAGAGCACCTGTTTTAACAGAAATATTACATAACCATGTGTAAATCATGCAAGTCAGACAGATGGTTTGCTCTGCAATGGAATCAACACATTCACAGCCAAAACATCACACCTGGGAATAATCAGCTGACTATCTATTTATCAGGTTATCATGCTTGTTTATAATTTCTCACAGCTAACACATAAAAATAAATCATGTGTTACTTGTGCCCTATGTAAAGTGAACCATTTCCCCATCATCCTGGCATATCCTATACATCTGTGATCTTGGAATAACAAAGCTACTACGTCTGTTTTATACTCACTTCATGCACTCTTCTATGGCTAAAAGAAAAGTGTTCTGGAATGATATGATCTCCTCTATGTTCCCAATCAGCTGAGAGTACTCTGTGGGGGTCAGTCTAAAAACAGGAACAAGAGGTCCATGGACCACAACGCTCACCTGAGACAGCCTTGCTGTTATTGAGAGGAAGATTTTTTCTATTTTTTTCCTTCTATACACCTATAAAATTTTTGTTCCCATTTTGTGGCCTCATCCTACTCTTGGCGTTATGAATTTAACAAACTTGAATCCACACTACCTGAGAATGCTTGCATTTTAATACGAATGGTATGCCAAAATAGTTTTATGAGGGAAAAAATTTAAGATTTTTTCTCCTACAAATTGCTATGCAGAATATTGTACATGTAAATATGACCAATCATAATCCTTAAAGCTATTGAAAAGATTTCATCAGATTTTCTGAATGTATTCCTATCAATAACTTTGAACCTTTATTGTGGCCCCACCTTACCCACAGGGGCTATAATTGGAACAAGCTTGAATCTTCACTACCTAAGAATGATTGCACATCAACATCATTAATCATGGTCCTGCTGTTCTCAAGAAATTTTTTCCAGTATACTCCTATGAAAAAATTTGATTCTCTTTTGTGGCCCCACCTTACTCCAGGGGACCCTGGAATGAACAAATTAAGATTTACACTGTGTAAAGACAGACAAAGTTTTTGTCCTTTTTGGCCCACTTGTTCTTGAGAAAAAGATTTTTAAATGATGCCACCAAATTTCACCATTTTCTAATTATCTCCCCTTAAAAAAAAGTGTGGCCCTTTATTTGAACAAAACTTGAATTCCCTCCACTCAAAGATGATTTGTGGTAAGTTTGATTGAAATTGGCCTGGTGGTTCTGATGGGGAAGTTGAAAATATGAAAAGTTTACAAACAACACATGACACACTGCAGACAGACAGACTTTAACCAGAAAAGTTCACTTGAGTCTTAGGCTCAGGTGAGCTAAAGTGCTAAAGATACTGACAGATAATTAGCTTGTTGTCAAAATAGTATGTCAAAATTGGTCCACAAAAAATTGCAGTTAATAAAATAAATTAACTGATGAAAGTTCATACAAAACCTATTGAAAGGAATCAATTAACTTTAGTACATGTATATTTATTGGCAATATTTATTGTATATTTATTGGCAATATTTATTGTATATTTATTGGCAATATTTATTTATTTATTTGAATCAGTCAACTTACATGGATAACTTATGTATTAACTGTGAGTTAGCAACATTGCTCTTACAAGATCTAGAGTTGAATTTGATTATTTGTATGGATGAATTCTAGATTGGCTTTATACAGATTGTAACACTGTTATTTGAATTGAATCTGATTATTTGTATGGATGAGTTCTATATTGGCTATATGCGGATTGTAACGCTGTTATCTGAGTTGAATCTGTTGACTTATATGGATCAATTACACAATTACATATCAATTGTATGTGTGTAACGCTTGTTACTTGAGTCTGTTAACTTACATGGTTGAGTTATATATCAATTGTATGTGTGTAACATTTGTTACTTGAGTTTGTTGACTTACATGGATGAGGTATGAATTGTCTGAATGTAAGTTTGTAACACTTGTTATCCGAGTTTGTTGACTTATATGGATGAGTTAGGAGTTGGCTGAATGTAATTTTGTAACACTTGTTATCTGAGTTTGTTGACCTACATGGATGAGTTATGAATTGGATGAATGTAAGTTTGTAACACTTGTTATTTGAGTTTGTTGACTTACATGGATGAGTTATGAATTGGCTGAATGTACGTTTGTAACACTGTTGTTAATTCCTGGACATGTGTTTTCTCAGTTTCAATCACATTCTGTAAAACCTGAAAATTAAAATAAAAATGACCATTACTGTACAATAATGTAAAATGTAAAGTGAAGTCCTCGAGTGGTCTGTATCATCAGGGTCTTATATTCTTAATGACTTTGTCCTTGATATACTACCTAAATTTATCCTTAGTCTCTTCAATGACTCAATAATAAAAGAAAGCATTCTTTTTAAATATCAATCAGAAAAAAACTGTAGAATTTAAATCCTTAAAAAATGAATTTTCAAACAATGAATGGGAAAAAACTTACCACATTATGATAATACTGCATGCTCTCTCGTTTATAAACTTGAACGTCCCCCTTCAGGGCCCCTGACTGTCTCTTTCCTGGGATATCTTGTGTAACAATATCTGAAAAATAAAAATTAATCTGAGGGGACAAACTGGAATATGTATAATCATCAAGTTTTAAACTTTTATTTAGTCAAAAAAATTAAGGTTTTCTTTTTCTTTGTAGCAAAAAGTACAATTCACATGTTTCAGTTTAAAATTTCCCCCCTTTTGAGCGGAGAAAATTGTTAGTTTAAAGGAAAATAAAACTATTTGTTAGGGAATTAAGATGTTTTTGAACACAAAGGCAGGAAGCCCTAAATTGATCAAATTTAATTTGGAGGAGAAAAAAAAGTCTAATAGCTGAGTGTCTGCCTCCAGAGTTCTGTGGTGCTTTGGTTCATCTTGATCAAGTATTGTAAAGTCAGATAATGGCAGGAAATGGATATATCAAAACAACCAAAATATATCAAACATCTAAAAATAAAACTAACAAGTTCAACAATCTGTATTATAAACTCTGTATAAACCTTGCTTTTGTTCCTCCTTATAGGTTTTTATTTATAACCACCATGAAAAACGACAGTAACAATTGTGAATGACTTATCCCACATGAGAATTTAACATTTTAAGTATGATACTTACCAGATTTGAGTTCCTTGACGTAGTTACTGGGGAACCAGCCTGTTTTGCCATTCAGTGTTCCCTCCCACCACCCTCCATCCATTGTCTGGGACACAGTTATTATGTCACCCTTGTTCAAACACAACTAAAAATAATAAATATATTCAGAATTAATACAAGAGTCTGATGATATGTCTATTTGGAGTATTTAATAAGGGACAGCTTTAAGTTAAGACTTTCCTTTTGTTTTGTGTTGATATCTTATGTCAATGTTTATTAATACTCATAGAAAAATCATGATGAGTCCGATTCAGAGAACACAGAGTTTTGAAATTTAGTCTCTATATCAGGTCTGTACAATAAATTTTTGGTGGAGTTATCATCTTTTGCTGTTGTAGATGATAAGTAAGCAGTGACTTCTGATTAATCATAAACACACTTTAAGCTGGGTTCAGTGAGTTGATACTACTCAGTACAAATTAAGATGCTTTATCAAAACCAGCAGCTCTTTCTCCTTCATGAAATAGACAACTCAAATGGACCACACCTAACTGACCAATTCCCTGAATACCAATGACCCTTACTCATACAACTGCTTAATGTATCAGAGTAACTGTCTTAAGAGGCCTCCAAATGTGTATACAAACATACGAAAGCAATCTTGTGTACTGGGCCCATGTAAAAAGCATGTCTGTAAAATCATAAGCACCTGTCAAAAATCCATTCTCCATCACATTACAAAATTAAGAACATATAACACAGATCAAAGACCCCCTGGGGCAGGAGATTGACCCCCTCACTGCTGGGTGCCCTCATCATAACTCACCGCCTGATTTCTATGGCAGTGCCTCATCATCTCCTGGAGAAAACATGTGTTTAGTTAGACAGACTGGTAAATATAACACAGTCTGATGGTGTAGGGGGAATTCTAATGCAGCCTCCAGAAGTATTACAAATTCCTCATTTAAAACCTATATCTGCAACCTGTTTCTCTGCTGTTTACATGTGTACGCCATAAGATTTGACCTAAAACTCTTTGATGTATTCAGTATGTGGATTTCATGTTTTTAATTGTGCGATTTATTTTAATACTAAGATTAGGTGTAATAAACAGCCATTGGCTGGAAACATTTTTATTACACACAATTTGCATTTGTCATTAAATATATCTAATCTGTAAAACATATAAATCACACAGCTTTTTATCTTACCTTATTATAAAAAACCCTTAAACATTACAGAGGGTAATATTTTGTATCAGCAGTGCTGGTGCTGTTTGCTGACTGGGGGTTAATGCCATCCCCTTATCTTATCATCAATTCCTGATATACCCCATCAACCCATTAAAACGGTAGACTTGAAAGTCACTTCATGAAATTATTTTCTGAATCTACGATAATTTTAACATAAAAACTGGCTACTAAATATCAATGTTTTTCAAAATATAGAGATAAATTTGTCAAATAAAGTCTCTCTTTTTCCTCAACTTTTGTCTATATAGGAATGAGCTATATCTTAAGAAAAATTTAAAACCTTTTTCTTTCTGAGTATAAAATATCTTAGCAATATGTGTCAGAGTGCATATTAAAGCATTAATTAATGGTGAGGATGTGTATTCTCTTATGTTGACACTGTCTATATATTAGCCTTACTCTAGGGAAGTCCCTAGCATCTTAAACTACAGTAGATGAGAGATACAAAACTAAAATATATCAGAATATACACAAAGCAATAGTTGGGAAAACATCAGCGTTAATGGACCTGACATTAAGACTTGACTCTGTCTAATCTCCTCATGAAAAACTCGCCTCCCTAAAAACTGCGACCCCCAACCTGACCTGTAAATGAGAGGTGAGACCAAACAAGCTGGAATATGACAGCTGATATCAGCATTGATAATCCGAATCAAACAAGTACAGGAGAATGCTTCTTATATCCCAGCACAAAAAACCTCTAGTGATAAACAGAAAATAACGGCATCATTCTTAATCACACCTCACAACAGGTGGCTTTCCTGTGTTAGGAATCGGAATTATATATTTTACATAGGAGTTCTTGCTCAATAATTATAATAGCAGCATCACTTTTGTTTTTCACAAAGATTCTAGATATGTAAAATTATTCTCTCTGAAATTACTTACAGGAAACGTGAATGATCAGAACTGCTTGGGACAGGTTTCTTACAATGCATTAGTGAATGGAAACATTCAGGGAAATAATTCTGATCATGTTTACGTCAATTAACTTGGTAAAAAGATCTCTATTTTTTCCTGTTTTTAACATTCAACAAACATACACTTAGTACACAATGACAGATGAAACAGATGGATGAATCCATGTTTAACAACTTGAGTAATAAATAGACATAAACAATTGTACAACAGATGCCAGTTTTGGCTCATTTATCAACTGCATTTTGATCACTAGCACTAGTCATTCCAATCTTAACATGAAAAACATATACATTTCTGATGTGGTACATTTACTTCATAGGGACTAGCTTTGTGGTGGATTTTTTGCAACACAATCAAATATAACACTGAATGCATTTTTTGTAACTAATATGAATGCAAATAAAAAATTATGAAACTTTCTATATAAACCTATCTCAGCATTGTATGTGTAAACTATACCTACCTCATCATTGTTTGTGCCCTTAAAATTGTGAATGGCCTTGACCCTTTTAGGCGGGTGTCCTGGCTCTCCCATCTTTCTGAGGTTGAGAGGTTTGGGTTTGGGCAGTGGTTTGTAGGCCTGGGGAATAAGGTTAGCTGTGGCAATAGCCTTTGGTTTTGGTCTTACATTCTGTATAGATTCATACGGACATTCATGGACCTCATCAAATGACTCGTAGATGGGTTCTGAACTCTCCTGTTGCTGGAGGAAGAGATCAGTGTCCTCGATGTGGATAACAGTGTTACGTGGCGACAGAGACAGAGACGAAGTTTCAGAATCAACTTCCTGTCCAGTATCCAATGGTAATGGCACACTAGGCTTGTGTCCTTGTTCCTCTAAAATAGCAATAAAATCGTTAATTTCATTCACAATTAAATCAAAATCCTCTGATAGTTCCTGGCTGCGAGTTTTCTTCTTTTTGAAATGACTTTCACTTGCCATGACTATAGAACAAGGATGTTAGCTTAATGTAGACAAGCAACTTCAAAGGTTATCAGGTATTTGCTCCTGATTTTGAAATCCCAATCTTCTATACAGAACAAGATATCCCATCTCTTTCCCATAGTTTCATCTTTACTTATGTCTGCCTTCAGCAGCAGGAGATTGTTTTGAGGCCCAAACGAAGGAAAACATTCAAATAAAATCTATCTCACGTTTTACCACACTACAAACAACCCACTAAACCAACAGCTGCTCAAAATCTTGCTGCCAAGAAAATTACATTACACATTCTCAAACACAGAAATTCTAGGGATTTTTAAAACAACCATTAGATAAGATATCAGATAGATCCCCTTTGAGGGCCCCAGAAACCCAAAGATTTCCACAACTGATTGGAAGGTCTTTCATGTTTTTAATAATTGGGGGTCAGGAGGGGACAATTAGGATACTGATGAGGCAGTATAGATAAAACATCCCTTATCTACCAATAAACCTATCAGTACCCATCTATCACATGGCATCTCAACACTACTTTTATCACCTCAGTTCATCATCTTCAATATTCACACTCTCACTAACCAAATACATGTTCAATTTCATGAACCCTCATTGTGCAATTGAAATCTTTTTTAACTCAGCAGCAAAGATGCAATTTTCCCTGCATGAAGCTTTGCTAACATAGTTAAGTGATTCTTGAAATTAGCTGCATATTACAAAGAAAACAAGAGGTTGATGCTTTGGCTATAAATAGTTGGCATTCCATCTCTAGATCTCGGAGATATAGGAGCAGAGAGCACCGTCTATATACAGCTCTTATACATACTGCCCAGTAAAGTCCAGGATAAGCATAAACAGGTTAGTAAGACTGCAACTGTTTAATTTCTTCAATTTTGAATGATCCATAAAATCTTAAATTCTGTTCTATCTTTTTTAAATTTCACTTTGTTAATTGGAGTGAATCATATATTGTTGAATGAGTCATTACTTTAAGACGCTGCTATTCTTTTTCACTGCATGAATGTTTCTCTAATTGTTTTCTTCTATAGAATGATGTTGAAACATTCTGCAAAACTATTGCAAAGAATTCTACTGTTCAATTCTATGATGTCGGTAGAAAATTTTCTTTAAAATTCCTCTATTGCTTTAAAATCTGACAATGGAAGGCATTCCTTTGCTTAACTGAAGTTCACTAGACTGATGTGAGTAGTTTTCATATTATCCAGTGTGCAGTACATGTGGGTGAATTAAAAAAAATGACCACCAAACTGAATTTTTTTGGCAAAATTCAACTACATATAACACATTTTTCACTTATACCATCATATTGCACATGCATTCTAGTTTAAAATCCTGAAGTGGCAATAGAATAGACAATTGGATTAAGGTGGTATGGGATACCAAACGAAACTTCTCCTACATATTTATGTACCCAAATTAGAAGGATTTGAAATACCCCCATCTTTCAGTATATTAAAGTGTAATTTTAATATTTTTTTTATTATTTTAATGAGAAATACAAAAACGATTTTTTTTCTTGCATAATTCTTTTTTCATAAGCTTAATATTATAGGCAGGCGTTTGCTAATATAAAGTGTTTATAAAAACAAAAATGACAAGAAATATGTCTTAGTATTTTTTTAATTTTCAACAAAAAATAAGCGTAAAAAACTGGGAAAACTTTATTTCTTGAAAACAGACGGATAACATTTCATGAAAGTCTACAATAAGAATGTATCTTAATATGTTAGCAAAGTGAAATAAACAAATTGAAAATATATATATAAATGGAAAATATAAAATGCATTTAAAATTTTTTGAATTAAAAGACCCGAGCGGAAGAGTTATCCTTCTTTATTTTCCAAGGGTTGAAAAAACCTGGGTGCTATTTTAGAAATGATGAGCATTTTTTCCCAACCATAAAAAAAATCGCACTTTGTAGTTTTCAACTTTGAGCGGTTTGAAAACAATGCATGGACAATCGCTTTCCAGGACGTGTCTTGTTCAGAGCAATTGCATTCATCTGAACGTTTTGGGACTATATACAACAGCTAGCTGATTTGTGACCAAACAGTTACTTCTTGAATTAAATAACAAAAAAGTCCAGCTCTGGTTAACGTGATAATTGATTGGTCATAATTCAACACAATGTGGAGTAATCACACTTATCCATGCCTCACCGCACACAAGGTGCTGTACAGTTGCTCAAACAATTGAAATACAGCTTTTGCTTAAAAGTGTTCAAAAGCAGCAATGTTGAAACTACCTTTTACAGGGGTTTGCTTTTTTAAATGTCCATTGTACAATTATAAGTAAATTTATATACTTGCGATTTTTTTGTCTGTTTTTACTTAAAATGCCGACTTGTGAGAACTTGCATTGAAATAGGCTTCAGAGTGTTCTTTTCAACGGTGTATCTACAAATTTTGACCCGATAATAAGCACTCATGCAAATCAAAACAATACTTCAAACGGAAATACGTCATAACGTGGAGGTATCCCATACTACCTTAAAAAGTTTCAGAATTTTTATTAGTAAAATTTCTTTTGAAAAAAGAAAATATCATTAAACCTTAAAAGACTTTCTAAAATACCTAATCAAAAGAAATTATAGTTTTTTATGCTTCAAAATGGTAAAAGGGGTATAAATGATTAAATCTAGACCTTGAATGAGTATCTTCTCTTGTACATGTGACAAAAAATTGGCTTTTTGATTGTTATTTTACATTATTTTTTCAATTCTGGTTTGAAAAGTTTAATATGAAAAAAATATGAAGCAATAAAATTCCCCAAAATTCACTTTTTTGTCCGTTTAAGTCAATTCTTTAAAAATAAGCCAAAAAAGAATTGTTATATACGAGCTCTCTTACGAAAAATACTAGATTTTGAAGTGACCCTATGTTACATTAGTGTTGCACTCCTGACATCTGATATGTATTTTATTTAACATTGTTTTAAAAATTATAACACACAATAACCCATTCTTACTTTGTAAATCAATATGTCGTGTTGATATTTTTCATCATTTACAGCAGGTTTTTCATATTTTGAAGACCTTAAAACATGATTATTTGCAAAGTGTAATATATATAAATTGTATTTAAAATATATGTGAAATGATGAAAACTATTCCCTGAATTGACTGTAAAATTTCTGTAATTTGTTGATAGACATAGTGTTTTGAACATCAAATAGTATCAAGCATTTTTTTCAACTTATTTTTTAGTAAAGATAGTTAAAAAGCATCGGTAATTATAAAGCAGTTTTGTTGCACTCCTGAATGCAGTAAAGTTTAAAATTAAAACCATAGAACACAAAAATTCATAAAGTGTTGGCAACATCAAGTGGTAATGAAATTGTGCAATACTTATAGTCCAATACTTCATAATTAAAACAGATGAAAGTATTTAAAAATCCCAGTTTATCTGGAATTATACCCTATTTTATGCCAAAAATCTAGCTTAAATGTATATTTAGAAGATAAAATATATTTTAAAGCATATTTTCCTATAGAAGACAAACACAGTAACCCACCAGAAAAATTCTACTTATCATTTTTTCTTTATTTTTATTCTTATTGGATGATTTATAATTCTAACATATTTGTTGCACTCCTGACCAAAAGCATTGAGGCCTTTAAAGTAGAATTGTGAAGTGAAAATTACATAAGAACTTGTTCTGTTGTTTCAGTGAAGTTGAGGAGGAATTACTTGAATTTTATGACAATGTTTTAGTGTGTTTATTTTTAACGTTCATTAAAAAAATCACAAAAAAGATAAAAACACATCTGAATTGATAAAATTGAAAAAGGAAGGATTTTAATAATAAAACTGTCAATAATTTAGTATTAAATTATACAAAAAGATCATTATTAATTAATAAATTATACTTCTAAGCATGAATAGAAGTCTTTTCGTCACACAACTTGAATCTTTAAAAAAATGTGTTGCACTCCTGACCATAGAAATACGGATCTGAAGCACAGACAGATCCTGTAATTGATAAATCTATTTGGTAAAAATGTTCTTTGTGTCTTTATTTTCCAAAATAAAAATCAGAAAATCATATAATGATAATAGTTTTTTCATGCTTGGGAGCAAACATCAAATGTTGCACTCCTGACATTTTTGGTATGCACAAATACTTGACTCTCATTAATGCTGCTTGTGATTTATATAACATTTTTAAGTTTTAAAATGTATATCAGTTATTGTTTTACACTTCGAAAATTCTTTTTTGTCTTAATTTTCTATCAGAATTTTACAATTGATGTTTTTTGGCAACACTACATTTTTTCTGTTGCACTCCTGGCATGGTATAACATTTTTTTAAACATCAGCCATGACCACAACCTGATTAAACAGAAGTTATGACAGTCCACATTTAAAGCTCAATACTTTGAATATTATCAGGAAAGTCTTTATTTTCAACATGAAGCATTATTTTTTATTACACAGATCTCCAAAAAATATTGAAATTTCAAAATGTCACAAAAAGGTGTTGCACTCCTGACAATTTTAGCATCATTTTTGGGCATAACTTTTTTGTTAATTGAGATATCAACGAGATATTTGGCAGGTATTTAGACACATCTAAAGACATATTCTAAGACATAGAAATCTATTTTCATTGCCTGTATTTTTAGTGTGGGTAGATAAATATGCGTTTGGTCATTTTTTTTAATTCACCCATGTACTTCTTACAAAAACTTCCTAGCTTTAAATTCTAATCACATTTTTTATGCTGTCAACCATGGTGAAACATTTTTCAGTATAACTAGTAATAGTAATCCAACTCAATACATTTACCTAAGTACATATACTTTAACATCCTAGTTGTCCTATAAAATACAATCATCCAGGTATCAATAAAAAATCATAATATTTCTTATGCCTCTCTGTCTCATATAATTCTAAATCTTGCAATTAATGAAGTTTAAGCCTAAATCAAAATATTGTTTGTTTTGCCCTTAGCTGACATAGCCAGGAAAATTTCCCTACTCAAAATATTTTATTCCTTTTTTTCATTCATTTTTCTTTCAATCATTTTATGTCTATATATTGGGGTAGATTTTCATAAAAACTCTTATGAGTTCATTCAGAAGCTTTGATTTAAGGAGGAGAAGGACCTTGGGCTGAAAAAATACCTGTCATTCAATTTTTTTCATATTTTGTATATTTCTTATTAAGTATGTCCCACATATCATAAAGCAGTTATATCATTAGGTTTCTTACCTTATTTTGGAGATATTGATTGACAAATACTATGCCCTACAGTATCTAAGTGGAGTTTTAATTCTCC